AGTCACCATAGTCGTAACCAGTTCGATTGCAAGCCGCACGAGTAGAACCCCACCGAGTTCGACATCGACCCTGCTGCCGCGACTGCCGTGGCCTTCGCCGCCAGACATTCCACGGTGCGTTCCGAGTTCCAGCCATCTCCTGTCCGTGGAGTCGGTGCCTGACAAGTGCGGTCTGATCATCTCGCGCGGCTCCTCCGGCTTTGAGAGTTCGTCCTTTGGTCGACGGTTACCTTCTCGTCGTTTTGTTCCAGTTCGCCCTCGTCGTTTTATTCCAGTTCGTCTTCTGCTTCCCCTACCTGTTCCAATTCCGACGATGTGTTGCACTCTCTGAGTCTGTTTTTTGTGGCGTCTAATGTGCAGACCCTTTTTCCGGTTTGACCCCGTCTCCGATTAGACCAATTGCCGAAACATTTGCCACACAAGACAAGACCAGCCCACAACACGACATCATTGCTTTTCATAGCGAAAGCGGCTACGGCACTTTCGACTCATATGGCATCGCATCAAGGTATTTGTGCCCTTCTCATCCATCCCTTGCTGTTCGTTTCGCCCCATTCTCAACATCGAGCGTTGCGCATAGGAAGAGCCCGCGCGTTAACGTTCCGAGGCGAGCCCGGCATCCTCCAGACATTCCACACCCATCGCGATCCCTGCCTCCCCACCCAAGCACGTCAGCACGCGTTTCGGTACATTCACGCTCACACGCTATTCCAGTCTTCTGCGACGAGATTTCTGCCAGGGGATTTATATTTCTGTGCTCTTGCTGAGGCCTGGGCTCAGCTATCTGGTCTTGCGTTCACATTCGCGGGCTCGCCCAGTTTTGTTCGTCCCATGTCGCGTCGAGGTTGGACGGCTTGCATGTGCGGGTAGGCGCACGGCCATATGCGGTAGCATCAGGTCCGTCAAATCCATCGCTCGTCTGGGTCGTAATTACACAGCCGCAAACAGCGCAACGCTGGTAGACATGCAGGCCCGCTCCCTGGCCCTCGCCGCCGTCCGTGGCCTCGAGTGGCCCTCTGATCGCGTGCCTGTTTGTGGCGCCCTTGCTCCATCAGCCAGCCTTCATGCCTCGGGTGGCACCGCGGGTTCGCCGACGTCCCTCGCGCCCTGCTGCTGTTGAACGACTGCTAGAGCTGGCGCCGCCGCGGTCTGGCGACCCCGCTCGGGCTCCGCTCGGTCATCTGCGATGCTGCCGAGCTGGTTCGAAAGGATCTTGAGCTGCGCGAAACCAGCACTCTACCCAGAAAGCGTGCATGGGCGCTGGTTGTGCACCGACGCACGCAGCAAGGCCCGCCTTCGAGGCTCGCTCGAGCACTGCGTGCCCACCCGTATCGCCGCAAATTCATTAGCGAGTCTGATCGGGGTCGGATGGGCGAGCCCGCGGTTTGGACGCGCGGTTTGGCGGGCTCTCGACTGGCACCATGCAGTCCGTGATCGCTGAGATA